AAGAAAAAGGACAAAACTTAGCTGAGATAATGATAGAAATACTGGCTGAAGCTTTGGAAATAACTCAAGAGAAGATGATGGATGGAATAGATGAGGTTTATCGAGTTTTCACAAGATATGCGATGAGAAATAGCTTACCAAGAGAAGTTCACATTAGATTTACAAAGAAAGCCATTAAAACGCAAATGTTGCAAGTGGCAAAAGAGAAAACATTGAAATATAAAGACAAGGAGATTGTGGTCTTGAAACAAATACCCAGAAGTGTGAGAGAGATGAGAAGAGAATACCAATTCCTGACTAAAATGCTACTTAAAAAAGAGGTGAATTATAGATGGCTGATTCCAGAAGGTTTAATATTCACATGGCAAGAACAGAGACATAGAATTGACTCAATTGAGAAAGCGGAATTATTTTATACAGAATTTTTTGGAGGGAAAGAGGAAGAGGCAGAAAAAGAGATCTCACTAACTGAATTCCAAGTGGACTGCCAAATGGTGATTGAAAAAGAAGAAGGTACAGTAGGTGGAAAGGTGGAAGCCAGAGAACAACGTGAACTAAGATCTATGAGAGCTGCTAAACCTAACTACAAAATATAACCATGGAAGAGAAAAAACTGATTACAATTAATATAAATGGACTTAACTCAGCCGTTAAAAGAAGGAAAACCTTTCATAAATTAGAGAAATTAAAATTTGATATAATTTGTCTACAAGAAGTACATATTAAAAAGCAATATGAACAATTGTTGATACAGCCCAAACTAGGGAAAATATTTACTTCCTTGACACAATGTAAGAAAAGAGGAGTGGTTTTACATATTAAAGAGACCATCCCAGCAAAATTGATTTATACCGATGATGACAAAAAAATACTAATGGTGGAAATAATGGACAATAATACGAAAACACTCCTGATTGCAATCTATGCCCCGAATGACAAACAAGAAGAATTCTACAAAAAAATTACATATGAAAATAACTGAACTGGACTATGTTAATATAGTTATGATGGGAGATTTTAATAGAATTGTAGACAATAAATTGGACTATACAGCACAGAAAACAATAAAGCAAAACAGAAAGACTCTCACTAAATCTTTTTTTAAAATGGTAGATGAAATAAACTTAAAAGATACATGGAGAGAAAGAAATGCTAAAACTAAACAATACACCTTCTATTCAAATAGACACTTATCATAGTCCAGAATAAATATGATATGGATGTCAACAGAATTGTTAACTAATATTCAAGAAATAAATATTGAAACAAGTATTTGGGCAGATCACAATCCAATGACAATTAAATGGAAAGGACAAAAAAGAAGATCTAGATGGACTTTAAATAATACTATTTTAAAGGAAAAAGACTTCATACAGTGGATGGAGAAAGAATTGGCTTTTTTCTTTAGGGAAAACAAAAAAAGAAGATACATCAATTCAGAATGTATGGGATACAATGAAGGCATATGTTAGAGGCTTGATAATAGACTATACAAGGAAAGGAAATACTATGAAAAGATTAGCCTCTAAGGCCTTAGAGGATGAGTATAAAAGACTTGAAAAAGAGCTACAGAAAATGCCACAGAAAAAGGACATCAAGCTAAAAATGGATATAGTTAAACATAAAATGGGTCAAATAGAAAAGAAGAATTAGCACAGAAAATTAGAGGTGCTAAACAGAACTACTTTGAAGACGCAAACAAAACAGGTAGATGGTTAGCACACAAATTGAGAAAGGAGAAAGAATCAAGGAAAATATTGCAATTAACAGACGACCAAGGCCAAGTTTGCTATGGTAGTAAAGAGAAGAAGGAAATCAGTCGAGACTTCTATGGGAAACTATATATGCAAGAGAATATTGATAAGAGTTAAACAGTACTTACAGAATGCTAATTTACCTCAGATACCTAAAGAGATTGAAACAATGTTAGAAAGCAATATAATGATGATGGAGTTAACTGAAGCACTCTAGAAGCAAATAATGGAAAGGCACCAGGCCCAGATGGACTTCCGGCAGAATTTTACAAAACATTACAAGAATCGTTGAATCTTCCATTGCTAGAAGTTATGAATGAAGTTATGTTAAAGAAGAAGATACCTAAATCATGCCCAGAAGCCTATATTACACTTATTCCAAAAGAGGAGGCCGACCCATTACAAATTAAGAACTATAGACCTATTTCTCTACTAAATGCAGATTATAAAATCTTTGCTTCAATATTGGCAGAAAGACTTAAAAAATATCTAAATAATTTTATTCATCCTGATCAAAATGGCTTTCTGCCAAAGAGACAAATTAAAGATAATATGAGAGTAATCTTGGACACCTCAGAATGCTACAAGGCACATCCTGAAAAACAAATGGCTCTGATATTTCTAGATGCACAGAAGGCATTTGATAATGTGAATTGGCGATTCATGTTATTACTGTTGGAACAGATGGGCTTTGCTAGAAAATTTATTCAAGCAACAGAAGCTATATACTATAAGCAAACAGTAGAGGGAGAACTGACAGACTCTATCAATATAAGAAAAGGAACAAGACAAGGGTGCCCACTTTGTTGTTTGTGTTAACTTTGGTAGTGCTAAACAGAAATATTAGAGATGAAAAGAATATAAAAGGAATGAAAATCAAAAAGGAAGAATTTAACCTGCAAGCATTTGCAGATGATCTGGTTTTCATTTTAGAAGACCCTCTAGAAACAGCACCAAAATTGACAGAAAAAATAGAGACATATGGAAAGGTGGCTGGTTTGAAAATAAATAAAGATAAGACAAAGATCTTGACAAAGAATATGCTATTAAGGCAAAAGGAAGAATTGGCAGATCTACTGAAAATTCAGGTCACGAATAAGATCAAGAACTTGGGGATATATTTGACAGCAAGATGTAGTACACTAAAAGAGAATAATTATATCAAACTTAAACAGCAGATAGCGCTAGATCTGGCGAAATGGGAAAATTTACAACTGTCACTAATAGGGAGAATTTCAACAATCAGGATGAATGTATTACCCAGAATTTTATATTTGTTTCAAACAATTCCAATTAGGCTTGGAAAAGATTACTTTGAAGATTTAAATAAAATTGTGTTGAAATATATATGGCAAGGTAAGAAAGCGAGAATAAAGTTAAAACTTTTGCAAGATGCTAGAATTAGAGGATTTGGTTTGCCTAATTGGGAGTTATATTATCAAGCTACAAATCTGATGTGGGTTAAGGAATGGATAACACTAAGAAATACTAGATTGTTGACATTAGAAGGACATGATTTGTTGTTGGGGTGACATGCTTTTTTATGGTATAAAGGAACTAAAACAGGGTTTTTTTAGAAGACATTATATACGGGAGTCTCTGTGGTTAAACTGGGAGAGGATTAAAAGACAATGTTGTTTGAAAATTCCAGTCTGACTATCGACTATTGAAATATTTTCTTATCCCATAATGTACAAAAAGGAACAAATAGTTAGATATGGTGAAATATTGAATGAAAAGGGTGAACTCAAATCTATACAAAAACTAGAGGAACAAGGTACAAAAATGAATTGGTTTTCATATGTGCAAATACACTCAAGGTATGATAAAGATTCTAAAACAGAAGGTTTGTATGATAAACTGACTGATTTAGATAAGATTTTGACAGGTACTGATGAAAAGGTGACTAAAAAATTGTATGGATATTTATTAGAAATTAAATTAGAAGAAGAACAAGTTAAATAAACTTTGATTGCTTGGGGGAAGAATTTTGGATATGGGATTGATTTAGAGAAATGGCAAAAATTGTGGTCTCAAAATTATAAAATGACAATGTCAACAGCATATAAAGAAAATTTGTATAAGATGTTTTACAGGTGGCATTTTCCCCCTACAAGAATAGCAAGAATGTTTAAGAATAAATCCGAAAAATGTTGGAAATGTCATCAGACACCTGGCTCATATTACCATATGTGGTGGACTTGTGCGGATGCTAAAAAATACTGGACTAAAATCCACACGTGGTTGGAAAAAATGACAAAAAAACATATAGATTTGAAACCAGAGATATTTTTATTGGGAATTTTACCTGAAATATATAGTAAAGACTTGAAATATCTGATTGTAAATGTATTAACAGCGGCTAGGATTGTATTTGCCAAAAACTGGAAAAAGGAGAAAACACCATCACAGGAGGAAATCATTAAGAAAATATTGGAATGTGCTGAAATGAGTAGATTGACATTTGAAATTAGAGAACAAGAGGATAAATAATTTTATAAAATTTGGGATCTATTCTATCAATGGTTAGACAATAAAATACAGTAATGAAATATGTAGACTTTTAGAAAATAATAAATATATAAAGATGTACTTCTTTCTTATTATATCTACAAAATGATTTTAGGATAGATTTGGGATAATATGAACTGTTATAAAACAAACTAAGTAAATTATGATTATCTTGTAAAACATGAATGAATAAAAGTATAGTCAAATGATTAATAATGATACTAAGGTATTTAATTTTTGATTGAAAATACGAGATTATATGCAATGTAATTGTAATTGAAGACTACGAAATGGAAGCACAAAGCAATTTGTAAACCAACTGGCACACTGTATGTATACATATGGAAGATGGCTTGATGTTTTTATATTTTGTTTATATTTGTTTTTAAAAACTTAAAAAATAATTAATTTGTATCCCTTGCTTCTTTCATTTAAAGAATATACAGTGGAGTGGAATTGGAAACTGAATCAATGCTGTAAACTCATCAATCAGAAGGTCTAACCGTGGACTTCAACTCCCAGAATCCAGACTTGTGGACTTCAACTTCCTGATTTTCTCAGGTAGCAATGCTTGTGAACTTCCCCATGCTGGCTGGAGAATTCTGGGAATTGAAATCCACAAGTCTTAAAATTGCCAAGGTTGGATATCGCTGTCCTAAACAGTTTGTTTTTCTTCAAAAAGAAATGGCTGTGAACAAGAAGAAAGGATAGTTGGAGCAAAATATCAGCACTTACCAGTATTCCCTTGAATATCTTTTCCCTTTTTGAATCCAGTTGGTGTAAATGAATGTTTAGAGCACTGGCTCGCCTGATTAGACAGCTGTTGTGGAGAGGCATTATTGAAGATGATGCCCCAGTTTATGTGACTAATATCAGAATGTGACCTGTTATGACCTGGCTTGAAAGAGGAAGTTTCCTCATTTTGGACTATAACATCATTCACAGAACGGGGCCGATCCTTCCTCCTCTGGCAGATGTTAAAGATACTAAAAGTTGAAGCATCTCCCTGATCAACCCAGGAGAGATTATCTGGAACCATTCCCCTTTGCACTCTAAACTGTTCTTTGGCAGGAAATGCAGTCTCTACTTTGGTTTCTGAACTTCCATTTTTGCAGTGTGCCCAAACAAGATTATTCTTCCCTAAAGAAGCAATGTTCCTTAAATCTCCACAGACTGTGATTTTATTAAATGTGTCACATCCAACCAGTTCCGGAATCTCTTGAACACCATAAACTTCCAGTGGCTGCACATTTTCCAGCTTAGCATCAAAGGTACTGAAGAAGTCTTCGGTCACCTCCAAGGCTGGACTGATGTCATCAACTTCTAAGGCCTCCATTTTATTTGTAGTCAAAAAACCTATAGCTTTGGGAGTATTTTAATAAGACAAAGACATATCTTTGGAAAGATTCTTGCAGGTATTCCTCTTAAGTTGCTGGTAACAGAATCAATATATTTTTCATTGCCATGGGCATTTGATTTCAGGAGCTTGAAACAACTTTTATTTGTAAACGTTGTTATGCATAATAGTTGTCATCAGCTTTATCTTCCTGAATGAAGAAGTATTGGTGGTTCAGCAAGAATTCTGTACAGGAACTGGATTTTTCTGTAAAACATGATAAAATACTCTTAAGTAACCTTAATTACAATAGATTCACATGGCCTATCAGGAAGTACCTATAAACAGTAGAAAGTGAAGGGGCATAACTTAAATGTAATTACTGAAATGAAGTTTCTGGCTCCTTTTGGCCCACTTATCTCAGGCTCTATTCAGCAATCTCAAAACAACCCTAGAAGACTCTTCTCCATAGGTTTAGTACAATAAAATGTTATCTGAGGCCCTCAAATGATTGCATCTTTGGGAGTTACTTGGCTAGCAACTGGATAGAGCGGGGTTGGCTATGTGACAATTCCATTTATTTATACACACAAAAATTTGTAAACTGCCTTCGTGTTACTCAAGGTGATTACAAAAATGCAATATATAGACAATACCTGCCTGGTGTTTTAACCTTTTTTTAGGCATTACCCAGCAACTTTAAATAAATGTTATTCCTGATGACTGGCTTTCTGAGCAGAGTTCTTCTACATCCATGCCTATGTAAGGTAATTGTTGTTTGTTGAGTTTAATTATACCAATACAATTTAAGTATTAATTTAATGCTATCTGTGTTTATTGCATGCAATCTCATATTGCACATTGCAAGTTTATATTTAAAGTACAGAAGAGTAACTATCTAGTTCCTTATTTCAAAAGTATATCTGGGAAGTTCCAAGAATGGGAGTAATGACACACATGACTCTCGGTTTTGTTCACTGTCAGACCTAAAGACAGGTGCATGTAGTGTAAAACTTTCTAGAGCTGAACAGTTTTCCACTGTCACTAAGAACAATAAGCAGGCTTGAGTAAATAAAGCAAGGTCAGGCTAATCAAGGGTTCAGCTAGGAAGAGTTCATTGGCAGAGATCAAAGGCCAGCAAGTTTGCATGTTCCTAATATCTGCCTGAAAATGTCAGAATTATTTGTGCAGTTACTAGAAGATAAATTATGGATGGATGCACATCATAAAATACAACAACATTCTGTTGGCATAGCAGTTAGAGGAATGGCAGTGCATATTAGTCACTTATGCATAATAATAACATAACTTATAACTAATTCACTAAGGGGAAAAATTAAGTTAAACATTCTATATAAAGAAGGGAAATTGATAAGACAATGTGTCCACCATGCTTTTTGGTGCCTGAGATACATTCTTCAAGGATCTTAAAGAATGCCTAGGCCTCTCCTATCTGAAAACAGAAAAATATTTTTCCCATATTTGTTTTAATTTTAATGTTTTTTCCTCTTGAGTTTCTTATTATTTCCAAAACGATTACCACTCTATATACTCCTTTTGCTAGTCCTTTACTACAGCATTAGTTATTTATGAACATTTTACATTGCTCCCTATTGATTTCTATATATTTTATTTGTATAATAGCATTATTTATTGTGTGCACAGTGTGCATTTGTTGTTTCTGCAATTTATTGTCTTTTAGGAAAAGATTGAGATTTTGAAATAAAGTATAAGTGTACCATATTTCTTTCTTTTTCATCATCGTGGTTGGATGTATGACTTTTTCATTACTTCTATAATTTAAACAAGCAATTTATCAAGTTAAATACTGCATATTTTAATATATTCCAAAAATTTATTTAATTTATTCGACTGACTAGTATCCTTACAATACTTTCTCATACATATCACAGAATTAGGTCCACTGAATTTGTAATAACTTATTCCAAAGATAATTTGTAGGATTTCAGACTTAGTAGGGTCATCTGTATTGGGCTGATACTATCTCATGACAAAATTATGTTATTTTTATTTTAAACCATGAACGTTGATCAAAAATTACAGTTAAAATACACAGTTCAGTTGCCATCTGTAAGGCTGTGATGAGAAGGTATGATTCACAATCATTACACACTAGCAAAATTATTTCTACTAAGCAGCTATAATACAGTAAAGGGTAATTTTGCCTTTTGTGTCCTCCCCAAAAGATAAATTAAAATACATAAATGCTTAGTTATGATCTGCTAATAAAATGTTTTTCATCACAACAATAGAAATGAGAGGGACTCGTTTCCTTGATACAAATCTGTATTTCATCCTTATTACCATCGAGAAGGAGATTCAGGGTATTAAGAACAAGGACGACTAGATTTAAGAACAGTTTTTATCCAAGTGCAGCTTTGAGTTTGAATGCAGGGTCATAAGATTTTGTGGAATTTAATGGCTGAGAGTAATGGGGTATTTACATTTTTAAATTGTATAGAGATTATTGTATGGTCTGTTGTGTTTAATTTTATTTTTCTTTCAATAGTGTTGTCTAGTTTTACTTGTGGAAGAGCACCTCATTTCGTTGCACCCGCTTGCGAGTGTAATGACAAATAAATTCTTATATCTTATGTCTTATGTCTTATGTACAGACTGGTAAATGGAAGATTCCCCTTAGTGAATTAGTTATAAGCCATTTTCTCTGCAGGACAACAGATTATCTACTCGATATACTAATGTTCCAAATGCAACACTATTGGTTTTATCTCCCTGTAAGAATAATAATAATAATACCTGCTCTCTTACAACAAAAAAGAAGTTCATTTTCTATGTATTTGGCAAGGACAGGTTTACATTTCTCTGAACTGAAAAGTTGAATATAATTTGTTAAGAGAGAAAAATAAGAATCAAGACTGCCAATGCTTAAAAAGAAACATCTAATCCAAGAAAAGTTCCAGTTTCAACTCAGTTAATTGTCCAGTCCCCCCCCGCTGAACCCGCATCCACCCCTCCCAATTTTCAATTTCTTATGATTTACTATCCTTGTCAATCCCTGCTGGCTCACAGATGAAACTAGTAAGAGGCATCTTTTCAAACTCCAATCACAGCAACCAAAGCTAGAGTTTTGGCATTTATCTAAAATAGATCCAACCAATAAACATGGCAAGCCAGACTTTAATCTTGAAAACAAACCTGATCTTATTTAAAGTAGTGAAGAATGATCCAAACAAAAAGAATTGATGTGCTCTATGTCTTTCATCATTTTCCACAGTGAATTTATCTTACAAATACATAATAGTGCAGTAGCATTTAAGCATTTCTTAAAACAGTCCTTGGCAAACTGTTCTCAGTATCAATGAATCCACACAACTCATCTTCCCATGATCAACTGTATCCACATTTAACAAAGCAACACATCTACCTCTCTTGTTGGCAGGAACTCCATGTGATTAACAGCCTTCACAACTTCCTGCTTGTTTCCCACTAATTTCCACTAGGCAGCTAATCAAATGACATAGAATTATATAAAGTAGAAATTTAACATACAGGTGGGTATGCCAAGCAAGCCATCAACTCACTAAGGAAATTATTGTGCTGTACTGATCTTTTTAGAACAATCTAGTTTTATTATTTATTTATTTTGTTGAGCATGTATTAGATAACAGATAAAAGTATAAACATGATTATTAATACATGAAATGGGTAAGAATAAAAGGGAACATTAGGACAGGGAGGGTAGGCACGTTGGTGCAATTATGTGCACCCTTAAAGACCTCTTAGGAAAGAGGTGAGGTTAATAGTAGACAGTCTAAGGTTAAAGTTTTTGGGGTTTTGTGAAGAAACGACAGAGTCAGGTAGAGTATTCCAGGCATTGACCACTCTGTTGCTGAAGTCGTATTTCCTGCAATTGAGTTTGGTGCAGTTTACCTTGAGTTTGTATCTACTGTGTGCTCATGTATTGAAGTTGAAGTAGTCATTGACAGGTAGGACAATGGATAATTTTATGTACTACGCTTAGGTCAGACCAAAGTCAGCATAGTTATAAGTTGAAATTTCAAATCTGGTGGCATAAGGTATTCTGTTATGAGTAGAGGAGTGGCAGACACTTCTCGTGAAATATCTCTGGACTCCCTCGATTGTACTAATGTCCAATATGCAATGTGGGTTCCAGACAGATGAGATGTATTTGAGAATTGGTCTGGCAAATGTTTTGTATGCTCTAGTTAGTAGTACAATATTACCAGAGAAAAAACTACGCAGGATTAGGTTTACAACTCTTAATGCCTTTTTGGCGATGTTGTTACAGTGGGCTCTAGCACTTAGATCAATAGAGATGAGTACTCCAAGGTCCTTGACAGAGTGGGGGTTATCTACAAAGCCATGTCCATTCAGCTTGTATTTTATTTTTGGATATATATTTTTTCCAATATGTAAGACAGAGCATTTGTTTGTTGAGATTTGAAGTTGCCATTTGTTTGACCATTCTGACACACAGTCAAGGTCTTTTTGAAGGATAGTAGTATTGTCGGTGGTGTTGAAAAGTTTTACATCATCAGCAAAAGGAACACAGTGGCTTTTATTATGATCAGAAAGGTCATTTATATAAAATATAGAGTTGGTCCTAGAATGCTGCCTTGGGGGACACCGCTGCTGACAGGTATGGGATTTGATAGGGCTCTCCCTATTTTGACCATTTTTTGCCTGTTTGACAGGAATGCAGCTATCCAATTATGCAGATGTCTGGAGATGCCATAAGATTTTAATTTTAGAAGTAGTTTGTCATGTACCACTGAATCAAAGACTTTACAGAAGTCTATGTAAATAGCGTCTATTGCTTTGCCCTGGTTGAGTTATGTAGTCCATATGTTTTTACAGTGTAGGAGTTGCAGTTTATCAAGTAGATTGATTCAGACAACCTAGCAAAAGCAAGGAAACTAACCAAAACATGAAAAATACCAAGCTACAATTTGTGTATTCCTCCAATATCTAATTTTTTGGGTAAACAAAGGAAACTGTTTAGGATCAAGGCTAAGCAATCACATTGCTATTGATGTTGTACAATATTCTCAATCTGCTGCAATGCTAGTATAGTTCTGTGGCAGAACAAATACAAAGTACAAATCCACCACATTCAACTTCTGAAATGCTCCATGCAATTTTTATGATTTGAGGCTGAGCAATTGCTACTGTTTTCCTTGAGGGTTCCTCTATTTGGCATTTGATGTTGTTTTTCCTGCTGAATTTCTGGCTGCACCATTACGACTGTATATGAAGTAAGGATCCCATGATGTCTATTTGCTTCCATTTCAACGTCCATTATGGGCAAATCTGCCCATACATGGTGCATTCAATAGAGTATTAGTTTCTATGAATTGATTCTTAGGAATCTGCATGCTACGAGCACTGTTGCCCTATGACAATCTTTTCCCCTTCAACAGAAAAGAATGAACTTCTGAAAGCTAGGTGCTTCAAAAGGAATTCTTTATTGAAAGGAAGTGATCCCAGTACTACTCAAAGCAGAATCTAAGATGTTACCAGGCATACTGTAATAGATAAAGGGAGTTAGAACCCTTCCCCTTATTCTGATGTGGATTTAGTCAAACAAAGAACCAATATGTTAATTCCCCGCTCCCCTTTTCTGGGAAGAGTTTCCCAGAGAGTATCCTCCAGAGCTGGAATTTTTTATGATCCCTTCTCCTCTTGCCATCTCTCCAAGAGGTCACAAGTTTCTAGACATCTGGCTCCAGTCCTCCAATTGTATATCATGTGCAAGTTACACAGATTCAATATAAGATTTAAGATATTCAGGTTACATAAAAAAGGATTACTTGTACCAACTCCCCCCCTTCTTCTTCCACTGAAGAATGGCAGATACTTGGATCTGACATATTTAACATAATTTGAAAAAAGTACTGTAAAAGAAAATCAAACAAATGAAAATTATAGTAAAGGCAAAATTTATTAAATGCAGGATCCTGTGCTCCTCTTGTATGGAAATTCATGACATTAAAATATATATTTCTAATCAATGGGAAGATGTCCCAGAAAACAAGCCTATTAAACGACCAATGAAACCTCTATGCTAAGGACTAGTTAATTAATGGAAGTGTGGCCATTAATCAGGTGAGAGCTGGTTTGATGGGATATTTAAATAAAGAGGGTCAACAACTCAAGTGAGTTATTAGAGACAGATCTACAAAAAAATCAACAACATTCTATGACCCTGTAATGCCTTAATTCGGGCTAGAGTCGGGGAAATTGAATGGAGCTCAGTATTTACTGGCTGCTACAGGAAACAGAGACAATCCCAAAGGGAAAGAGCTGAACTCAATGTTGGCATCAGGAGGCCAATAATAAGGACAAGTAGTTTGGGAACAAAGAGCTTCATAAGACATGACTTGCAATCACACATACTGGGAGATAGCCTCCTTTGAACTGCTCCTTTTCTGTTACAGGGGAATTTTTTTTAATTGGAATTTTTTTTTTTTAGACTGTGAAAAAAAAAAGTTTCTTCTATTTCTCCAACAGCTTTAGAAATAACTCATTACAATCTTCAGGGATCTGTAGGAAGGGGTCCAAGAGGAACTGAGACAGACATTTGTTTAGATCTGAAATGATTTTAAAATTTTAACTAGACACTTTTAAAAAATTCTCTGTTTAAAATCTAATCTTTTAACTGTAGCGTTCATGTTCCCCAAATAAGTTCAATACTGCTGTGTTTTATGCAACTCTAAACTTCTTAAGCACAGAGTTGCCTTTAAATGGTTGCCTTTTGGTTTACCCAGAGCCTTATGCATCCTACAATCTGATCAAATCCATCGTTTTACTTCCTTTGCTTAATCAGTGTTTGATTGTAACTATCTAAAGTCAAAAATATATTCATCTTTTTGTTCCTTTTTTAAAAAAATAATTATTTTTTGTGAGATTGTCTATTTTCCAAAATGAAGTAGACAGGAATAGATGGGAAGAAGGGTTGCCCTTTAATGTTACTGGGTTAGCAGATGATAATAGAATTCAATTATTCTCTCTCTCTTTTTTAGAATGCCAGAAAGTAATACAGGTTAGGAGTAGGTAAGGTATTCCCTAGAAGACAGGGTGGCAGTGGGAACTACCACACAGGAAGTGGAATTAAGCTTTATAGATGCAAAGGGCTTCTGGAGATAAGTTTTTAGATCTCCATGCGTTCACTGTACAGACTTTGTCCTGTTATTACACACATTTTCAAACAGCTCATGGTTTCTTCAGTGTTCATAACATAAGAGTATATGCACAAATAAAATATTTAATATCTCAATTATGTGTACAGTACTCTCCTAAATGTTCAAAGTAGCTTTCAGAAATACAATGAAAAAAACAGAAATATATCAAAACCAATCTAAAAAAACAGTACAATACTCTTATATCTGTGCGCATGTTTTTCTCTCATGGAGGAAAATCTGAAGCATTGCATCCACTCAGCAGAAATAAAAGCAAGTCATATAATAATGGGAACAGATGCTCCCAGAGATGAAGTCATTAAGCCAGAGGAAGGATGAGAGGTCTGTGAGCTATGTCTCAATTGATTCCAGTAACTGAAACAGGAAGAAAGGACAATAACTGTAAAAGATACATGTGGCAATAAAAACTAACAGACCAAGTAATTACAAAAGTTGTTGAAATACTTCCTTTGGGCTGATGAAAACATGCCTCTCTCTATATTTTAGATAGAGTTAATTCTCACTAGCTGATTTCACATTGTTATATTATTTAATTTTATTTTATTGAATACATTACAATAATTGTTTACAAATCAAACCAAGTTACAAACAACACAAAGCACAATGTTGGAGTTCATACAACTTAACTCTCCCAAAACTTAACAAATTACTCTGTTGCTTAACAGCATGTGTGAATTCTGTCAGCGTGTTTCATGTTGTTTAATTCTGATCTCCAGGCAATTCATAGCAATATAGATTCAACTAATAATTATTTCAGATTTTATGATCATGCACACAAGGATATAGAAAGATAATTTCCAAATCAATTTTAAAGCTAGATAGGCAAAACTGTAATAATTCTTTTTTGATAGAGTGGGCTGCATGCAGACCAGGAGACTTAGTCAGAATATTTGTGTTCACTTTTATTTACCTGGAATATCACCCTCCCTTCACTTCCTCATACTGAACAGAACAACAAGCTTGAGAGTGGGTGTTGCATACAATATTTCCTTGTAAATATATATTTAATAGTTACTAGTTATAAAAATATTTTACAATTCTGCCATCTGATTCATTATTTAAATTTCTCTGCCCCAACCCAAAGAAGGAGTTTATGCCCATGTTTACTTGAAACAGTACTGCTAAATGTGGAACTGATCTGTAAACTAAAAAGATCTGGGTTCATATTCCAGCATTCTAACCAGGACCCTATTGGATGCTTCTGCCATAAACAGTACCTCCAGAATTAGTCTACAAGGAATAGAGGCATATATTAAAATCGAGTCCATACCTTGGGCTACTTGGAAGAACTATTGGCTGCAAATTGTGAAAGAAAATATAAAAGCAACAAAATCACCTAATAAAAGGAACTTCCAACATGGACTGTATGCAAATTATTAACTGCAGGTATTTCAACATAAAAGCAAACATTAGCTTTGTGCTTCTTATGTTGTTGCCTTGATTCTTTTGGTAAACTGTCTTGGGTGAAACCATACCTTTAGTAAACCGAGTTATTCTTGTCCTATTTACAGTAGCAGAAAAACAAACACACACATACAGAGGTTCACGAAGACGAAGAACCAGCTTGCTATTATGGAGCCTTATGTGATTCAAAAACAAAGAGATTTTTTTAATGAAATCCAGAATAAGGACATGTATTGGGAAAAACTATACCCATACAATACTGATAATGAGTCCTTCGGACACACCAAAGGTTGTCATGCTCACATTCTCAGACATGCTTTTATTTGCAGAGCATATGCAGTTAGGCGCAAGGCAGGAGCTTATGAATAGAGGCACCTTTACCTGGCTCCCAAAAGGTCCGCGCTGCAAAATCCAGCGGATTTCCTCCCCCGATCTCATTTCTCGCCTTGGCTCAATGACAGAGAAGAGGCGGCGGGGTATTATTCAGCGTTCTCTCGCTTGCTTATTTACGCTCGCTCCCTGTGCTCCCTTCAAAGGGATCCCCGTGGTAACAAGGGAAACGGAAGTCAGGAGGAAAGTTCCGGAGGCGCCCGCCTACTTTCCCTGCGGAAGCGGTGCGCGGGAACCGCTTGTCACGCGGGACCCTGTGAGGCGGGGTATCATCAGCTTGACGAAGGTTTGAGAGCGAGCAACGCCTACCTCTCTCGTATTTTCAGACCTGTGAGAATGGTATACCTGCACGTTGACTTCTTCTGTAATTAAAAGGAGGGAGCTGCAGAAATCTGCAGGACCAAAGAGAGCGAAAACTCGTCCCGGTTGTTCGATGGTAGGGTCCGGAGTTGTGCATCAATGGAGATCCTGTAAGGACAGTGACATCTAGATATCACCACTAGTGTAATCGAAGAGGAGAAATAGGGGTAGCAGTAATATCTCTGAACATTAGGGAGAGCAGGCAGGGGTGTTGATAGCGAATGGCAAATTCACGTCTGCCTGACCGAAAGGTGTGGCCTTAGCTAAAGGGCATAGTTATTGTCCGGGTGTAATGAATGCCATACAGTCTTTAGGAAAAAAAAAACCATAGAATATGAAGCTCTGTACAGGTGCATGCTTTCTTTACAAGAGTTGTTTTGTAGCCATGCCAGTAAGAGTAATTTCCGTTAGAGTTGGGTGAGAAGAATCCTAACACCAGAAGTGCCATTTTAATTCAGAGCATGGATGCTCCACTACATACACAAAAGTGGGAGTTCTGGTTCTTTTTCCTTATGTTTTCTCTCCCTACTGCCGCACTTCCACCTTCCACAGTTCAAAACATATATAAGAATAATGTCAACAAATAAAGCTTTCATCACTTTCTTCCATAATTTTTATTTTATTATTTGTCAAGCATGTACAAGATAACAGGTATAGGTATGAACAGAAACATGAGCAAAGAAAGTAAATACAGATAAATGGGGACAGTAAGATAGGGACGGTAGGCACTCTGATGCGCTTATGAACACCCCTTTTACAGACTTAGGAATGAGGTAAGGTCCACAGTAGATAGTTTGAGATTGAAGCTGTGAGGGTTTGAGCCTGTAACAACAGAGTCAAGTAGAGCATTCCAGGCATTGACCACTCTTGCTGAAATCGTATTTTCTGTAATCGAGTTTGAAGCAGTTTAGCTTGAGTTTGTATAAGATTGTTTACCTGTGTATTATTGTAGGAGAAGCGGAAGAAGTCACTGACAGGCAAGACGTTGCAGCAGACAATTTTGTGTACTATACTTAGATCGGACTGCAGGCAGCGCAGTTCCAGATTGTCCAAGCCCAAAATTTCAAGTGTGGAGGTATAGGGAATTCTATTGTGAGTAGAGGAGTGGAGTACTCTTCTCCTGAAATACCTCTGAACCCATTCAGTTGTGTTAATGTCCGATATACAGTGTAGATTCCAGGTAGACGAACTGTGTTGGAGAATTGGTCTGGCAAAGGTTTTGTATGCCCTAGTTAACAATTCAGTGTTACTGGAGAAGAAGCTTTGCAACTTAACAACTCTTAATGCTTTTTTGGCAATGCTGTTACAGTGAACTCTGGGGCTTAGATCGTTTGAGATGAGTATTCCTAGGTCTTGACAGAGTGAGGGTCATCTACAAAATTGTTTCTGCCCAACTTTATTTGGTGTTCTGATTTTTATTGCAAATATATAGAATAGAACATATTAATTGAGATTTGGAGTTGCCAATTGTGCAACCATTCTGACACATAGTCAAGCTTTGTAGGGCAGCAGCATTGTCAGTGGTGTTAAATAAATTTACATCACCAGTGAAGAGGATGCAACTGCTTTTAATATTGTCGCATAGGTTGTTGATGTAAAGCAGAAAGAGTGTGGGACCTAAAATGCTGCCTTGGGGGACACCGCTGTTAACTGGTGCTGGATTTGATAGGGTCCTCCCTATTTTGATTATTTGTTGCCTGTTTGACAGGACACTGTACAGGGATCCGGAGATGCTTGTAAGACCTTAGTTTCAACAGTAGTTTGTCATGTACCACTAAATCAAAGGCTTTATAAAGGTCTATGTAAATTGCATCTATTGCTTTACCCTGGTCAAGGTGTGTGGTCCAAATGTTTCTGCAGTGTAGGAGTTGCAGATTACAGGATAATTTTTTTCTGAAACCAAACTGCTTGTTAGAAAGCAGGTTATTTGTTTCTAAGTGGAGGGTGATGGATTAGTTTAAAATTGATTCCATGACCTTACAGGTGACACAACACAGTGAGATTGGTCTGTAATTTTCTACTAGACTAGGGTCTCCCTTTTTAAAGATAGGTATGACCATGGCTAGTGACCATAAGTCGGGATTATGACTGAACTGAAGAATGTATTGAAGAGGTTGGCCTTAACAGCTTCACTGTTAAAGTCTTCCCCGTTAAGCCCTTTTAGGGGTAGGATAGTTTTCGAGTCTTGAAGTTTGGTGTTTACGAAATTATAGAAGGCTCGAGTGAATTTTGAATTTAACAACTCCTTCTCCTCTTTGCAATGGTAATTGGTACACTGTGCCTTTATCTGGCGGCATAAGGCTTTGTAGCGGTTTTTAAAGTTAGCTACATAGTCAGTTTTGTTTTTTTGCCAAAGAGACTTTTCTTTTGGATTGTAACTTTCTTATTGTTACGGGTAATTTTTTTTAACTTTAGAGGTTATTTTTGGTGCTTATAGGTTAATGACTCTATTGACTTGGAGCAAAAAAGCGTTATAATGGTCTTCTGCAGTATGATGACCTGTGAACAAAAGGTGCCGATCAAGAGATGCGAGGTCGGCAGTTATGGTTGGCTTTTTAAAAATTATAATTTGGAGTCCCATCATTATGACCCTCTTTGCAAGGACACAAATTGATACAAAAATCAATCATGCTATGATCACTGTTGGAAATTTTTTTTAACTTGTAGGCCATAAATTGAGTTTAAGCTATTGCAGAAGATGAGATCTAAGCAATTGTTGAGCCTAGTATTGTTTGTTACCAACTGCTCCAGCCCCAGAGTCGTAACAGTATTGTACAGGGTTGCATGTGTAGGCTCGGTTGTACATTCGTTTAGGATCCAAATAATAAGAGGAAAATTGAGGTCACCAAGAAAGATGAAGGGATGCGGGCAGGAAGCTGCCCACCACAGTAATGCACTTAACTTGTTTGTATGACCAAGGTCATAATCAGGGGGTCTATAACATAGCAAGAAATGAACTGTAGTATTTAAGGACAGTTCGCAGACAATGCTGTCAGGAAGAGCAAGCTGAAATTAATCTTTTTCAGACTTAGGGACTTTTTATAGAAGATAGTAACACCATCACTGTCAGACCGGAAAACATGATAGTCACTTACTGTAATAAGAGAGTCTGGAAAGGATACATTCAACCGTGTCTCACAGACAAAAATAAGATCCAATAGGGCCACATTTAGAAGCAGGAGGAATTCGGGCATTTTGTTTGCGAGGCTTTTGGGGTTAAGTAGCTTGCGTTTTAGGCCTGTAGGGGTGGACCTGGAGGAAGTTGGGGGCATGCATGCCTAGTTTAGGTTGTTGGGGGGGGGTTGTTGGGACGCAGGTCATGCGTTTGATACAGTCAGTGTGGTAATCTATGTACAGGTCAATCTCTACTTGGTCTTGGTGACTTTTGAACTCCTAGTGGAGCTCGCGGGCACGTGGTATGAACAGGTTGGGCTGTGAATAAAGTTTCTTATGATTTGTGCAGCTTTTGGCAAATGAGTTTATTCTTTATTTATTATTATTTGCGTTTGCTAGTTTCGCTCTTGCAAATGACTGCAGAAGCATGGGGCCACCAAGCCATTGCTGTTCTTGAACTCAGGGCTGTTGCGGGAATTGTCAATTTCATCAGGAGTGATGGTTGATGCCTGGAAGTTGTTGATGATGTCGTGAATCTTTGTGAAGTCATCAGATTTGTTGGTGTCATCCTGTCCAGTGGTGGGATTTAAATTTTTTTACTACCGGTTCTGTGGGCTTCACTTGGTGGGCATGGCTATGTGGTCATATGCCTCGGTGGACATGGCTATGTGACCATGTAACTGGGTGGGTGTGGCTAGGTGGTCATGTGACTAGGTGGGTGTGGCCAATTTAACAGTCCTTTTGCCAATTTGGCAGTTCATTAAACAATACATAGCAGCCCCCTTTTCTACTCTTTTTAATACTAGCAGCCACAATGTGAGGAGCTGCTCCTTTGGTACTCACCCCCCCCACAATTGTCAGCAGTTGCACCGCTTTTTCCGGGGAAGCAGTCATGTCCTGAGCACGTTCTTTTGCAGCCCCTTCACAGGTCCCCCATTTGATCCCCCCCGAGGTCGATGCCCCCTCCTCTGCCTCCTCCTCCTCCAGGGCTTGCGCCAGGGTAGGCCCGTTATGCCAGTGGTGCCAAAGATCTTTTTGCTGGCTGCAGCAAGGCCTCTGGTCGCGTGGTTTACCTCCTTTCTGCTCCAGCCTAGAGCCAAAGCAAGCCCTTCCGCCTGGAGCTCTGTCCGGGTATGCAGGGCCAGTGGAAGGTGGCGTTTGGCCACTTTGGTTCCCCTGGAGGACAGAGTGCTCGTGAGCTGCAGCCAAGAGTTTGGGGTTGCAGCAGAACAAGCAACCAAAGCCTGCCTCCCCTCTCCCGGTTCTCGGATGAGCTGCTCGCCGGGTTTGGGCACCTGAGGGAAGTGCCGGATGGCCATTTTGAAAGGGAGGGAGCGGTTTATGCAAGCTGTGGGATATAGCGTGACCCTCCTTGGTAGGGGCACCCCCCTGGGAATTGCTACCTGGCCTGGCCTGGGAAAAACAGGACTCTCTGGGAAGGAAAAGGGGAAAAGAGGAGGAGAAGAGGCCTTACTTGTAGGCCAGCCAGC